GATGATAGAATTTGTAAGCGGGGTTCCATCTTCGAGAGCCTCGTGAAGAGAGCCATTCTTCTTCGCATGCCAGCTCCCGCCAATTGTGGTTACCATATCGACAGTACCTCCGCCGAAGTATCTCCTGCTTAGCAGTAGCTTTCGTAGCTTGGCCGACTGCTTCTGCACAATGAGAGCGCCCAATTGGGGATACCCAAAGATCTTGTAGAAGCTGACTGCGACAAGATCTGGCGATGTGGAAGTCTTGCTTAGATCGAGAGGGCTTGTGCTAGCCAAGGCGGCCGCGTCCAGGAGGGTGTACGTCTCGGACTCGTTGTCTGTGTTTCCTCTAATGAGTCCTGGCCTGATGGACGTTAGTATTCGAGCATGATTTGTCCGCACTTGTCCTCCCTTACCAGTGATTGGGTAGTCGTCTGCCTGTCATGTTCGACTGGCCTGGATAGGCCAAGAGATTGACCCGCTCTGACTGGTGACCGGCCCTGGTGGGTTCCAGAATCCACTCGTCAATATCACCATCCTGGATGAAACATCGATGGGCTTTGGCCAGCTCTCGTGCTCCCACCAAACTGGTGTGAGAGTCGCGGTGATAGCCATACCAAAATTCCTTCCCATTTGCTTCCGCGTAATCGCGGAAGCAATCAGCGGTGAGCTTTATGGCCGCCGTGGCATTAGCTACGAAAACAACATCCCAATCCTTCGTGCTGGCACCAAAGAACTCCAGTACTCGCTTCCGGACTGATTGAATATCGTTTGCGATAGCTTGAGCCGGTCCGGAGTTAGAGTGTGGATTTGCGTATCGTCTGTGCCTGAGGTCTTCATGCACGCGCTCGATCAACTCTTGGGAGTATGGCTAACAGTAGTCAGGATGGTGGCTGGTCGTCTGGATTGGATGGCCATTGAGAAATTATGCTTTCTTACCGGTGTTCCAGCACTGTCGAGATAAACGACATTTTCGAACTGGGGATAATCGCCTTTTCTGTCTTGGTGCATGCTTCCCTGCTTTTGCTGGCCTGATTGATATCGCCCTCAATATTACATTCAGTCTGACTGCGCGGAGCTGCGCGATGTTCGACACTTATGCATCGTTCGTTGCTTCTTCTCTCGATAGTTCTTGCGATTTGGTAGCGGTTTGTGATCTGCTCGACCAATTGGGAATAAATTACGTTCGGTCTGTTCCACTCTGGTTTATTACGCCACGCGAACCTACAAAACACCCTCGGTACGGGACAGCACGTTTCTGGGATTGGAGCTCAATTCCTCCAAAAGATATTGTGAGCGGCATGAATTCGAACCGGCCAGTATCGTCTTCTGTAATTAAACAGATCGAATAGATAGACTGCCTGCGGAGAATAGCTTCAGATCCGTCAACGATTGAGCAGGTGACGAATCCACTTTCCATGTATTAGTTGCCGCGGTCAATAATCTTGTCAACCGGCCGATCGTCTTTCTGATACGTTCAAATCATATTGGTCAGTCTGACGACGCGCAATGACTGTTCCCATGGCGGCTGGCTGGTAGAGAAGAATACGACGTGATTCAAGTAGTGGATGAGACGATTGATTCCGCGGCCGCTGCGCATAGAACTGTAGCGATCAATGTTGTTCCTATGGATGAAAAAGCCCAGCCCATAGCTAATAGGAACGTGGGACTACCGTAGTGAGAATCTGGATCTGACCACATGAAGCTGGTTCTGAGTGAAAACCCCATGACTGACAAAACACTGGCGACGATCCAAAGAACAGGAGCATCTGGCTCTCCCAAATGACAATTCCATATGCTCTGCAAGACCTTCGAGACGATGACCATCATGAAGTTGGCACCCATAAAGATGGACATGTTGAAAAGGTTGGAAACGAACATCATGGCTACACCCTCGCAGGTTCTGGGCAATGCTTGATGAGATCGACCTGTGGGGTTTCTCGTCTTTGGGGATGCATTGGACGGGGACGACTGATTTGTCATTGAGAGCTTGAGAGAATTTGTGCCCTGTAGTGACAAGAAGGCAGAACGAACGAGGGAAGTGGATCGGAGGGATGTCGTAGATCTCCCCGAGAACGATATACATGACAAACTCTGATGAGCGTTTTGTAAGCAGCCGGAAAATTCCGAGTTCGAAAATCCTGACCTGTGCACGGTCCTCAGAGCATTCCCGCACAAACGCCAAGGGACAGATCCCGCCAGACGCGCTTCACGCCTTTGGTCGTCCCATCTCTCTTCGCATCCATGCAATATGAGCTTGGCAGTCCACAATGAACGCTTACGACAATGCTCTCGAGCTACTTCTCGCGTGCGTGGGCTATTCACATCACATACATTGGCGAGATCAGATCCTACACACTCATGCCTGACTGTGCGCTCGAGTCTGTCAGCGTGTTCTATCGAGGTCTCCTGTTGAAATGCAGTATGTTGTGAGCTCTTACACTGCAGCATTGTCGACTCATACGTTGGAACATCTACCTGACCTTCCGTATTACGTATTGCAGAAATGCGATATTAGACCTTGATCTAGTGCCTCTATCTAGCAGAGTTCTTGCAAGGCCGCAATACTGTTGCGGTGTTGACTTCAAATTCCCAATGGCCATACAGAACGAGGACCTAGCCCGCCGCATCGTGGTCTCTCAATCCAAATCTGAGGACCTGACAGCAAAAGTTATAACTATATCCGGGGTTCGTGGCAGATCGAATGAACGTGCCATCAGAAACGAACGGACATCGGGTGATCTTTATCGAAGCTTCTGCAAACAGCTGAGATGTTTTGAAGGACGGTTTCGTTCGCAAGCAGACAAAGCAGAGTTCTTCAAAAATTGTATCAGCATCAAAGAACTATTAGAGAATCGAGAGCTTGGAATTGTAGAGGATACCGAGAGTTGACATCTTGAAAAAATATGAGACCTTCTCAAGAGGAGTCGCATTCAATTCGGTCTTTGCTCAGATCTTCAACAATCCAATCCATCTGCAGGTTTGGAATCACAGGCTTGTTATTCATTCTGGTACATGCATAGAGCGCAAGGGTATGCAGTGACTAGTGTATCTAATTGCTATCGAAGACAGAAGTAATGAGTAATCCACTGGCATCCCCTGACGGCACCCCTGCTGCCACAATCGCCTCACTCGGGGTAGTTCTCTCCCGGCGTGATGCAAGATCCGGGACCGTCCGTTCGGCCTACATGTATGTCGAAAGATTTAGAGCAGTCGATCTCTAGCTACTGCTTACACTCTTTTGACTCATCACGCCAACTCGTGGTGTCCCCTATAGATTCTGCCCGGATCGTTCTCAGGATAACCCAGTGGCGAGAAGTCCGGGTTCCAAGTCCCGGGTGACGGAAGAGGTGTCGCATAAGAGACGTCTTTCTCCCTATGCCGAAGCCAGATACAGAACCAAAGACAGATGACGAGTGTGAGGATCGCAAGTATTCCTACGACTACTGCCACTGCAGTGGGATGCTCTGTGATATCCCTAGACCTCAGCATGACTTTGTCCCGCGAGCTGAACGCGGCAGTGGTAGCTGATTGTATGACTTCCGCCAGTGTAGGGTCAGGACTAATCTGCGTAAGAGCCATGGCTCGTCGATATCTTGATCAGATCGTTTGCGAAATCTGTAGAGGCTCTCCCAGCATATATAAGATCCTTCATATCGAAACACAACCAAATGTTGTTCATGTGATTGGCAGACAGTTCATCACTTGTAAGTATGGATGCTGACGTGTTGACAGAGATGGCCAGTAGGACAACGTGTGGCGAGATAAGAGACGATGTAAAGTTTGGATCACTCAAAGCACAGATACCTGATATTTGTATCCATAGATCGATGTTCCGCAGATACTGAAGCTGTCTCAATCGAATACAACCTCTAGCCCCACATCGGTTGCTCTTGAAACTTCGTCTTACGCCCTAGGTGACGTGGTATGTACAGAGCTTCGAAAGACCTTAACCCTTTTCCGCCAGTGCAGATTCACCTTGCGAAATGCTTCAGACAATGGATGTTTGTTTATCTTTCCGCGAAGCTCTTATCAGGCATCTTGGATGAGCTGTGTTCTCCAGCTCTGACAAACAACGCTTGATCCGTGACCTTGTTATGTATGTGCTGTAATATGTTTAGCAAATTGTCTAGTGCACGACATCCAGGTGTAGACCTCGCTCTTGGTCTTACCCGCTACGTATGCTTGGCAGTGCATTGAGTTTTCTAGTCACCACACTCTGAACTACAGTCTCTTCCGCTAGTGACTCGATCTCGACTATTTTCCCCCAAAACCTCAAGACTTCTTCTTTGTG